CGTTTTGAGTAGTGTGGTCCGGTGAAATCCATGTGGCTTTGTGAATGCGTTTGTGCGGGAATATTGTGCCACCGATGACCAGTTTGTTGAAGACACATAGGTTTGCAAATCTCTCACCGTTTTCGTTTCTTTCTCCCAGTCCATGTCGTCCCATGATGTCTTCATATCCAGTGTTGTTTATGCCAACCTGGGCATTCAGGTCTCCCATAAGAATCGTCAAATCCTTTGGTGAACATTTCTCGACGATTGACTGCAGCCTTTCGTAGAATTGATCTTTATCGTCGTCATTGTAGTTATTGGTAGGTGCATAACATTAGATGATGTTCATTGTAATGTCCTCTTTCTTTGTTTCGAAAGATGCTTTGATGATCCTGGGTCCATGAGATTCCCATCCTATCAGTGCCTTTTGCGCTTGTTTGGACATCATCAGTGTGACACCTTGTGTGTGGCGCATTTTCTTCTCCATGGGCGGAGTATAACAGCAGCTCTCCTGAAGCTAGTCTCAGTTGTCCTACCTGTGTCCAGTGCGTTTCAGTCTCCCACAATGTACGGACGTTTGATGTACCTAAAAGAATGGTTGCTCTGGTTGTGAGAAGAGGCATCGGCCCTGTGACTTTCGAGGGAACTCGGCTTTCATCACGCGACGACATATTTCTTCTTCAAACTCCAAGGGCAGAGTTGAAGTAGTTTGAATTACTTGCTCTGGCCAGCGTTTTTTGTCAAGTTAGTTTTTAGTGGGATGAGGTCGCCAACCCCATGCCCAACCCTCCTCCTTCACCCGGGCTTGGGACCGGCAGTAGCCCCGAAGGTCCTACTTTCGGAGTTTCAACATGTTTAGATCATTCTAATTGATTGTGTTCTATTAGTTTACATTCAGTCGACCAGTATATATATATATATATATATATATATATATATATATATATATTTGAAATCATCAATCAATCACTGTTAGACAACCATTAGAAACCTGGAAGCACCGGATGGCCGTTTCGTCCTGGTATGGGACTCATCAGCAGTGCGCATCCACGACTCCTGCATCTTACAGGATTCGAATCCGTGACCTTCGGTATTATGCTCGAACGCCTAACCTCTGGACCACTGGGCCGGCAGTTAGTGGTGTTTAATGTCTAACTCTGATTGATCTAGGGATTTCGCGTGACCTCACTCATTTGTCTTTGGTAGTTACTGCCTACACCCGACAGGGTTTGAACTCGATTGGTCACGTCTTTTCAACTAGAACTCCGAGAATTTCCTCACGAAGCTAGTCACTAGTGAGCACTGTTACGATATTTTCGGGCAGAGTTTTGGAGTGGAATAATATTTGAAAAGAGCCATAAATCAGTAGTAACAGTTAAACATATTTTTCCACGTTTTCACTTCATGATGAACTCTAGTTACTTACTGATCGATGTATTTACTATGGTCTCTTAATCAGTTCGTATTTAGATGTAAGACATTAGTGAGCATAAAGATTAGATTTTAAAAAAAATTTCAAACGTCTCGTTTGAGCATATAGAAGAAATATTAACAGTTAGCTGTTAGAGACTCTCAGTAAATGTATTCGAAAACAATCACAATCAGGATATTCATCGAAATGATGAACCGATCTCCATGTTGTATCGCCATTGAAAACCAGGAAGCATCAAACGGCTGCTTCTTCCTAGTATAGGACTCGTATCCACCACCTACGTAAACACTTAACATGTGTGCATTCAACGGCGCGAAATAGAAGGTCCTAGGTCCGATTACCATGTACAGGGGTCTTAAGTGAACACTGTTGGTCAGATACATACTAAGATGAAACGGCTGTCAAGTGCTTTCAAGTTTTAAAATAGTGGCCTAACATTGATTGGTTCATGATTTCAATCAAAACTCAACAGTCATCACACCTCTATACTAATAATGGAGAATTTGGTGATCGGATTTGTGCTTCTACATTAAACTACAACATTGCTAAACCCTACAAGCTAATCAATATTGTTGAGAATTAAAAACTATTCATTCTCAATAATAATAACAATAGTAATAACTATTCGTTTTTTTTGTTTGTTGATATTACAGGTTCATGCAAATTTAACCAAAATCGATGAACGATTCACACCTTATACACAATTTCGATTAGGTGCATATTTCAATTATCCTGAATCATATAAAAGTCAATGTGAACAACTTAATACAGGTTCAACTGGTAGTCATGATCATCTTGGTGGTTCACCGGATATTGCTATTTTAACATTGACTAAAAAATTATCCATTTCTAAAGGATGGATAGAAATTGCTTCATTAAATTATAATTTTTCATTTATTGAAAATGATGGACAACAACAGCAACAAGAAGATATGAATAATGATTATTTTATCTTAGGTTATGGTGAAGATACTACACAAGGTGAATCAATTGGTCAATTACGTTTTGGTAAGAAAAACTTATTATTATTATCTAAATTATAAATAATACTATACTTATTAGGTTTATTAAAATTACAAGAATGTCCAAAACATATTAAAATACCTACGGATGGAGCACTTTGTTCTAATATCAATAGTAATAATCAAGGACCAGATGTTGGTGATAGTGGAGGTCCAATTTTTGATAAAAATGGACAAGTTGTCGGTGTTACATCTATAGCTGGTAGTGGTTGGTATGTGTTTTCTAGTGTTACTACACATAAAGAATTTATTCAACAACATTTACCTGCTGAGTATAAATTGGATTCAATTAATGATAAGAAAATCAGTTCAATGGATTCTTCCACCATTTCAATGAATTCTTCCACCAGTTCAATGGATTCTTCCACCAGTTCGATGGATTCTTCCACCAGTCCGATAGATTCGTCCACCAGTTCAATGGATTCTTCCACCATTTCAATGAATTCTTCCACCAGTTCAATGGATTCTTCCACCAGTCTGATGGGTTTGTCCACCAGTTCGATGGATTCTTCCACCAGTCCGATAGATTCGTCCACTAGTTCAACGGATTCTTCCACCATTTCAATGAATTCTTCCACCAGTTCAATGGATTCTTCCACCAGTCCGATAGATTCGTCCACCAGTTCGATGGATTCTTCCACCAGTTCCATGAATTCTTCCACGAGTTCGATGAATTCCTCCACCATTTCAATGAATACTTCCACCATTTCAATGAATCCTTCCATCAGTTTAATGAATTCCTCCACCATTTTAATGAATTCCTCCACGAGTTTAATGAATTCTTCCACGAGTTCGATGAATTCCTCCACCATTTCAATGAATACTTCCACCATTTCAATGAATCCTTCCATCAGTTTAATGAATTCCTCCACCATTTCAACGAATTCTTCCACCAGTTCAACGAATTCCTCCACCATTTCAATGAATACTTCCACCATTTCAATGAATCCTTCCACCATTTCAACGAATTCCTCCACCATTTCAACGAATTCTTCCACCAGTTCAACGAATTCCTCCACCAGTTCAACGAATTCCTCCACCATTTCAACGAATTCTTCCACCATTTCAACTGATATTCCATAATCAATTTCCTTTTCATTATCTTCTTTTAGTTTGTTTTTTCTTTTTAAAAAAAATAATCAGATACTTAATTTACAATAGTTTCTTTATAATAAATAAGATGGCAATGATATTTAATACAATCAAATATGTGTTGAAATTTAAAACAAAATCTATTGAAAATTTAACCAATACACATATTCTTTTGAATTGTTCTAGATTATTTTGTTGTGTACTGTGTTATTGTTAATAGTTCCATTTTGATTTTGATTGAAAACATCATCACTATTAAAGTTTTCTGAGTAATGAATTCACAAGAATTTTGAGAATTTGAGTTTTTTTTTGTAAGACATTTGTTGAACATTAACACCGCTGGATGCCGGCCCAGTGGTTCGATGGCTAGGCGTTCGCAGACAATGCCGAAGGTCCCGGTTTCGAGTCCTGCAAGATGCAAGAGTCGTGGATGCGCACTGCCACTGATGAGTCCCATACCAGGACGAAACGGCCGTCCAGTGCTTCTTCCAGGTTTCTAATAGTGGTCTAACAATGATTGATTGATGATTTCAAATATGTAAGAACACAAACCTCCAAAACTCTGCCTGAAAATAAGCTGTATTTGTCATAGACTAATCTCATAGGGAGTACTGTTGAAATTTCTCAAAAGTGAGCACACACGAATCCTTCACATGGGATCGAACTCAAGACTATGGTGTCTCACTGTGAGTCCTATACTAGGACAAAACCGATATCCATTGTTCATAGCTGTCACTGGACTTTTTTCTAAGTGGATTTGATTTATGTTCTCACTAGTAAACTGCTTATTTACAACAATTCATAGTTTACATTACAATAATTTAGTCTGGTCCATGTTTGAGTTCATTTTCAGCTATCTCTTATTAAATTTTTGAAAGTAGATTAGTAATTATTCAATGTACAAGTTTCATGTTTTTTATCATTTAATAAAGTCAAAAAAAGGAGTTAGAACAGATGATCAAAAGCTTTGAGAATAAATAGATTTATGAGTTTATTTCTGAGTTCCGAATGGTACTTTACAAAAGATATATATATATATATATATATATATATATATATATATATATATATATATATATATATATATAGAATACTACTGACTCAGGTTTCTTAGAGTCTTAAGCCAAATTTGTCTATTTAACAGCTTGCAATAGATAACAGTGGAATTCAATAAGTGTGCTGTATCTTGTTTAGAACTCAGTAGATAGACTTATATCTGTATCTCAGTATTGATATGAACACCGGAACTGGGATCCTAGTATCAATATTACTTACTTACTTACTCCTGTTACCCCCCCCCAATGGAACATTGGCCGCCAACTTTGTCCAGGGCTTCCCTTTACAGTTTTATTCAATTTTTGTTCATTCTTCTCATGTCTGTCGCCATTTCTTGGTGTAATGTTTGCCTTGGTCTTCACCTTTTCCTTTGACCTTGAGGATTTCAAATGAGGGCTTGCCTTGTGAAATAGTTGGGTGCTTTCGTAATGTGTGTCCCATCCTTTTCCGGAGCTTTTTCCTGATGTCCACCTCCGTTGGAATCTGGTCTGTTCAGTATCAATATAGACTGTTCATAATCCAGTGCGGAATATCGACAACAGCCATGACTCAAATCTTTGTTGATGGCGATATATAACTTCTACCAATGTCTCATATCATTTTATCTTCTATCTAAAACATGAGGATTATTCATACATCCAAGTCATTTCAATTTGCTTCAATATATATATCGATCATATTTAGTTAAGTTAGTGTTGTCAATATCGTCAAAATTTGCTCAGTGATGAATTTAGCACGTAGTTGTCTTTATTTGAGAAGGAAATATTCGAATCTCATTTAAATAGCATAACGTTAGCAAACTTAAGTCACCAATCTGATTGTTTACTGTTATGATTTACACTACTATGACATTTTTATTGAGTAGTATAAAAATGTCAAGGTATAAAATTGTTAAAATTTATCCATAGTTTTTTGTAAAATCAACAATTGTTAGCTGCTGTTTTACTCTTTAATAATTCTAGTATCTGTCAATTGTAATGTCTGTGGAAATGTTCCAATGACTTATGCCTAGTACTACAACCCTGTATCTGACAACGTATAGTGAGAACACGAAGACTTATTGATTTGAATTTATCTAACCACAAAACAAATCAAAACGATATATAAACATATCAGTTTTGATTTAGTTTATGTACAGAAAAATTTCTATAATTTGAAATGAGTAGTATTCAATGTTAAATGATCAGTGATTGACTGTGTGTGCACATATTTATCATACCACACGATTAAGCATATATAAAATAAAGATAAAACTAATTACCTGAGTAATATAATTATTACCCCTTCTCAAAACCCGTCAGGTCCTAGTATGGGACTCTTCAGCAGTACACATCCATGAACTCCGGACGCGGGAATCGAACTCAATTATCCGGCGTAGGTAATGGATGAAGACTGTGCAAGGTCATGGATTGATTGAAATTAGATATTAACACTGTTGAATGTCATCTCATTAATCCATAGGTTAAGCGTCAACGAGCGAGACTGAAGGACCTTAGTCCGATTCCCGGGGACGCGGGTCATAGATGTACACTGCTGATTAGTCCCGTACTAGGAAGGAAGAGTCAGTCACACAGTGCTTTCAGGTTTCGGATGATGGTCTAGCTTAGATAAGTATGTGATTTCAACTATGAAAAAACTGTTAAATTATCATGTATTGACATCTATCATCCTGATGTATGATAGCATACTTGATAAATGAATGCACCGCAATGGATGATGAATTTTGTTGTTTATGTTACTTGAATCAACTAGTGACACTAATAAGTTAGAGTATGTAGTACATCCACATAAACTTGAATTTGTTCATATTTAATTTGGTTAGGCCTTCTGATTAACTTATTCCATGAGGAATCTTCTCTGAGTTCTAGTGAGAAGTCGTGATCAGTAAAGTTCAACCTGTTCGGGTGTAGACAGTGACTAATGAAGACAGTGTATGAGGTTGTGCAACTACGAGAGTTGACCGAAGTTAGACATTAACATCGTTAGATACCGGCTCAGCGGTCCACAGGTTAGGCGTTTCGCCTACAATACCGAAGGTCCTGTGTTTGAATCCTGCGAGATGCAGGAGTTGTGGATGAACACCACTGATGAGTCCCAGACCAGAACGAAGCGGCCATCCAGTGCTTCCAGTTTTCTAATGGTGGTCTAACAATTATCGATTTGTGATTTCAATGAGTAACTTAACAATCTTCACAACCCCGTAATGTATTTAAACTGATTTATTTGTATAGCAATAACCCATATGTATCACTGTGCTTTGATTATTGTCGAGTTTGTAAGAGTAGATACGAATGAGATTGCCTACGCCCATATCCATCCTATTCGCTCTAATGTTACCCTCTTAAAATATTTCGATGATTCAGCCATTTCTCTCTATCTTAAACTGCTCTTTGGCACTTGCATATTGGTTTTCGTTTCGTAAGCCTGTGGTTTAGTGGTCTACTTGTGGTGCGTCAATGTAAGTATTCGATACTTCGTATTCGTCTTCTAATTTATAAAACCATGAGGCGTTGTTATTCAGCAACGGTTGTCTGGACGAGCAGCATACAAAGTCTAAGAACATATCGAATACCGATTGCCACGAAACTATTAAAGCACTGGCCACCACAAGTTATATCGTTGTTTTAACTAAAAATATCACATAAACTAGCTTTAATGATGAACTGATAATAGGCATTAAAACCACTGAAAAACCAATAAGCACGGAATGATCGTTTCTTGCAACTTTTAAATATTGGGTATTTATCAGTATGCGCTCGTGACCTTAAATACGACCAAACGTAGACCTTTGAGGTCATACAGTAAAACGGCTATGCTTAAATCCTTAAATTTAAAATCAATATTCCGTGATCTCAACTTCTGTCAGTCTCTTAATTATCAGTCGTTTTCAGCATGTACCCAAGGTTAGGGCATTATGAAATAACTTTAAAAACGAATTAGTTGAACAAAAAGAGCAGATAGGAGCAAATTAATGACTGGATATGGGTGATTCCTTCACACAGCCAGAACCTTCAAAGATGACACATTCCTACACCAGTCAAACAAAGTCAGCCCTAAAAGTAGCCCACCTTACCTACCGTGCTGTTTTCCGTTGTCAGTGGTAAGACCTTGGAAATAATTCGAAGCCTGAAACTACTCAGAAATAGACCGTTTAAGACCAACTTCAAGCAGTTATCTCTTGGACTCTGTGGTCACTTATTCAAGTTGTTAACACTAACTATAAATCAGTTTTTTTCAAGGGCTTCTCAAAGAATTATTGTTTCAAGGTATAGGCAACCACGAAGTGACAACTATCTTCATATATTGAACAACACCTGAGTTCACCTCAAGTCATGGGATGTTAGCCATTACCAGTTTATTTAATTCATAAATCTGTACAAAATGTAATTATCAGTTGAGATTTCCAGCCCAGGCACTGAACGTCAGTATCCACTAACTTCGATGATAGATCTTTAAGAGATAATCATGAAAAGGTTGTTCTTTCTCAATGCTCAGTCGTTTTTATGGTTGGTAACTTTACAACTGACTGATCATTCATTGAGCGGTGATCAGTGAGATTTATGTCAAATCCTTTTTAGTACTAAGCGAATTCTATGGACAGAAAGCTGCAACGTGGTCACTAATGTGTGAGTGACGTGATACAGACAGACCGATACAACTCAGAACTTCGTAAGTACGTACATCAGCTCAGGTTGCCATACGCAGCTGTCAGTTCAAATTCCATAGTAGTAGCGATAGTAGAATTACTAGCAGTAATGGAGAAGATATAACTCGAGAATTATAATTTTGTGAGATTACTTTAGAAGGAGAAAGATAGAGAGGATGAAGAATTAAGAAGGTTAGAATTAAAAAGCACACAAAGAGTGGATGCACCTGCGCCACTGGAAACGATTTCGAGCCATGTCGTTCCACGTCTCTAACCATTGGTGACTTTCGTCTCGCGGACGCCAACCAGGCAGCCTACATCTACCTACATGACTCAGTACACTTATCAGTGACTTCATGGATTTCTGTCATGTTTTTGGTTTGGCCACTGCTAACATTCTTCCAACCTACTATTACACCAAGAAACATCGCTCTTCGAGGCAGTCGGTGGTTAGGCATATGTAACACATATCCCAACCACCTCAAATGATGAACTTTCATCTATTGATTTCCCATGCCTACCTAGTACTCGTTTCCTAACGACAGCATTGCGACGTGATAGCGCATTCACGTTGAGATGCACAAGTGTGCCATGCTAACGGCTGTTAAATAACATGAAACCTAAGTCTGGTTTCTTTTCAACCACTGCCAACCACCTCTTATTGGTACCCAGTCCAAATGATTTAAATAATTACCCTTGATCAGAGTTTTCGATCTATTATTAAAGCAAACCCTTATCTATCACTTCCGCCCCCCTTCCTCGTACTGAACCTCTTATAAATCTCTTCTAGTAAACCCAGCTAATTCCTGTTGCTTAGTATTCTCTGACAACAATACACTACAAGTCCCCAAATCAGAGAACACCGTTGAACAGGAAAAGATCATACTCCAAATAGCTAGGTTAAATGGAAGTAAAAAGCCGAAGCGAAGGCAAAACAGGAACAACGTTAATCTCTTTATAGTTTTTACATGGGAAACTTCTGGAATGTACTCCAAGTATCGACTAGGCACTGATTGGATAGGAATTAACCAATCAGCGTACAGCTTACGTAGTCATGCTTTAATTCATCCATGTCCGGTTAACAGAACCATAACTATTTGCTGACAGTTTGAAAAGTATTTACAAAAAAGCGAAACAATTCATTATCATCTATCTGTGAAACATTAATTAAACTAGTTATTTCAACAACAACAAAAAGAAATTAACATTTAATTCAAACAAATTCATTGAAATTCAAATACTGTATTATTCTCTTCTAAATGTTAAATTACACAACAACAGCTTGTATATTATCTATCTGAATATCAAAAAGTAGAGAAGAAGAATTAACTAACCAACAAGAATAACAACAACAATATTGACAATGTTAAGCATAGAAAACCAACTTCAATAAAACAAATACAATGAGTCTGATACAACAATCTTCTATATATATATATATATTACTGATACAGATAGACAGATAGATAGGATAGATAGATATTTGCATAGAGTACAAACTAGAGACAGAGAAACAAAAAAAACCCAATTTCAAAAAATTTCATATACAAAGAGAAAATATGATACATTACACAGTATAGTGAATTATTGAATATTGACTAACTATTGACTATTGAACAGAAAATCAATCATCAAACACAGAAAGTACGCATAAAAGACGAGCATATATTGTGCATTTTTTGCGCCGAAAAAAAAAATCTAATAATAATTTCAACAGAAAATACTAAAAGCTAATGGATCAAGGTTTTTTTTGAAAATGTTGTGTATATATTCATTCGTCCAAGTGTAACGACAAGTTTTTCTTTTATGTAACATAAGTTGATACTACTTGTAATTACAACATAGTAATAATATACACATAAAGTGGTGTAATATTTAAATCTGGACAGAAAGATTTTGTTTTTTACGTGAGTTAAAACACATTATTTGAAAAAAAAACAATTTTTAAAGTCAATAAAACACAAAGAATGAATTCTATTGAAAAATATATATATTTATATAGATGTGGTCGTCATTCAGAGAGAGAATCTGTTTTCTTTTGCGTTGTACATATAATACAGCTTACCTATTAGGAAAGGAACAAGTTTCTAACAACAATAAAGGACATTATTAGAATACTGTGTCATCACAGTTTCGATATGCCGGTTTTTAATGCAGATTTCAATGGAGAATTCTGTTGGGATCCAGGTAGTCTACTATTATTATTGACTGATGAGGATGTTGCAGAATGATGATGATTTACAATTCTTGTCGGAGAATGATGTGTCATAGCACCAGTAGTATTAGTAGTATTAGTAGTAGTGTCCACCACGTATTCACCATCTTCGTCATCTTCATCATCATCACCATCGTCTTCATCATCATCCTCTTCATCTTCTGTATTGCCTTCTTCTTCTTCTTCGTCAAAATCATCATCTTCCAGATCTTGTAAACCATTATTCACAGGACTTCTTCGATCAACTTTGTCACGAACATTTTGAACAACAATAATATCATCGTCTCCTTCAGTGAACAAACTTGTTACATCATCATTCTGCTTGAAGTTCAAAAATGTGAAATATGAAACTATTATGCTGTATACAAAGTTTGAATTAATTAGTACAAATTCTAATGTTTGACAAGAGAGTTAGTGGAAATACTTGACCAACTGATTACATAATTTAGAAGAAAAAAGAGTGACTAACTGAACATACTATCGATAAATATTGATGAAACCTATTTTTTTTTAATATATAGGAAGGTGTTATACGGGGGCAACTAAGCCTCGTGCGATATAGTACTCATCAATACGATGTATATGAATTTTCTTGAAGGAACTGATGATCCTCATAGATGTTGAACTTACATTTTTCAATGTGACAAAATGAAACATTTTATCAATCATCATTCTATTCAGGTAGTGACTGACTTCCCTATAGGACTGAGATATTCAAACTTTCCACTAAGTGTGTGGTGCACGCTACTTATAAGTAGTAAATGACGTGAGTGTAAACATAATGTCTGGCAGCAGAAGATGGGGGAAGATCAAGAAAGGAAGAGTGGGAACACAATGGAATTTGTATGAAACGCATGAACAGTGGTGAAATGTCAGACAATGGATTAATGATGGATTGAAGAGGTGCAAATTAACGATTTACGATATGGTTTCCCTATTTTACTGAGTAACTCTGTAATTTTCGGCAGATACAATTCGGTTGGCCCCACCTGTGTTCTCCTTTACTACAAGTGTATAATAATCAATAGTGTGTTGGTTCATCCCATTGCGATGGTCAATGTCTATCAAGTTATGTTTCAAGGTCTTCATCAGTCAAATCTCCTCAATATTGCATACACCATGTTTTTTAATGTCAGGTAGAATTATCGTATGACTATCTTGTATTCCAGTATAATCTGTTGAATATTAAAATAAGCGATTACTAAACTTAAATCTATCAATAGTCAAGGATGCAGAGTTTCGAGTAAAAGCCAAAACATGAAATTCACTACCCTTAAGTTTGTTCAATCATTGTACAAATGAAATTGATATGTTGATTGGTTGTAATTAAAATATATGTCCTTAAAAGTTTCACTGAACACTTGGAACAAACTGAAATTGTCAATGTTCAATGATGCACAGAGTTAAGTTCTATTAGGTGAGGCTGCCGATATGCTTGAAACTCTATTACGGGTTCACCTTAGTCGATAAACGCGAACGAGACAATGAACCAGCGTCCAGGTAGGCTACCCTGATCTGTTGACTAATGAAAAGTCTTGATTTAGCGTCGAAAGTATATTCTACAAACACCCAGCAAGCACAATGCAATCAAGCACACAAATCTTGAGACAGTTACGAAAATAGCACACTAAAATACACAACAGCCAATCACAACCAAGGATTTCCTTGGTGGCAAATGGAATCTCAAGGTCAATTGATCAGCCCATGCTGGCAAACGTGAAATCCAAAATACGGCATTCATCACGAGTTCTGGGGATCTAACGTCCCCAACAAGTACAATGTAATTAGTTACATTTGTAAGGAGTGTAACTCAACACTTCAAATGTGATAATCTTCAGGCAAAAATAATTGTTATACCATATACTCACAATCTAATTTATTCCTCACTGACAGTTGAACTCTAAATAATATGGTTTGTAAGCTAGAAACCCGTTCAATGAAAAAACAAACTATAAGGTACTAGGTTCAGTCCGTTGTTTGAATTGCGCGTAGAACGGAGAACAATCTAGTACTTCCTTAATTTGTTATTTCGACCTATGATGAAATTCAACATTGAACTTTAGAAAACAATAACAATATTGCTGGACAGAGTCAGTCAACTGGTCGAACAGACATTCTTAGCCAAGTAATCCATGTATGATGAAACAAACTTCTATATGACTGAAACCAACAATGAATACTAACTTCACTAAATGATGTCATACTTTGATTCTGCCACTCTCTTAGCTCTCTTACAACGTCAGTCAGTCAGTTGCAACGTAGAACTTCGTACGTATGTGCATAAGTTCATGTTGCCATACCACATTAGCACACAGAGAGGCAAATGTCAAATCAAATCCCATAGTGATAAAGATAGTAGAGGTATTGATGGTAATGAAGATTAGGGTTCGAAGATATTATTCAAGAAGTATAATTCAGTGAGATAAGGTTAGAAAGACAAAGGTAGAGGTGTTAACGAATCCAGAAGATTACGATTTGAGAGAACGCAATGAATGAATTCACTTGCGCCATTGCAAACGATTTTGAGCCATGTCATTCAAGGTCTCTAACCATCGATGACTTTCGTCTCGCAGACCCAACCAGGTAGTCTACATCTACCAACATGACTCAGTCCACTTGTCAGTGACTTCATGGATTTCTGCCATGTTTTGGTCTGGCCGCCCCTAGCTTTCTTCCAACCTACTCCTACACCACAAAATATAGCTCGTCGAGGCAGTCGGTGGTTAGGCATACGTAACACATGTCCCAACCACCTCAACTGATGAAGTTTCACCACTTCATCTACTGATTTGCTATTTACCTAAAACTCGTTCCCTAACGACAGCATTGCTTACTCGGTTATCCCAGGATACACGGGCAATGCTTCGGAGATACCTATGATCGAAAACCAATTACCTACGAATATCTTCAACTCTCACTGGCCATGTTTAACAGACATAAAGTAAGACGGAGGAAACTACTGCACAGTACACTCGTCCTTTAGTTAGCGAACGGACAGCTCGCCTACGCCATAAGTGACGCAGGTTGGCAAAAGCCAGTCGAGCCTTCTATACCCGCGCTGAGATTTCGTTAGTCACCGGGCCATCAGCACTGATGAGACTCCCCAGATAAGTGAAGTGATCGACACGTTCGACTACTTCACTTCCTATCACTAGTTCAGGTACCGATGCAACCCAGTCTTGAAGCAAAATTTGGCATTTCGGGGGGCGAACCGCATCCCGAACATGCTCCCATTGTTGCTTAGGGTGGTCAGAAGACTGCATTTTGTCAGCGTCTTCACCGAATAGAACTATGTCATCGGCATATTCTAGGTCAGTAAGCGATTTTCTTGGTAGAAGGTCTACTCCTGAAAAATCTGACGAGCTTAATGTTAACTCTAAGAGGATGTCTACGACAAAGTTAAACAAGAATGGAGAGAGTGGACAGCCCTGACGAACACCACTTGATGTAGAGAATTCCGATGACAGTTCGCCATAAGCTCTCACTCGACCTGTAGTGTTCGAGTAGAGAGCTTGTATAAGGTTAATGTACTTCTTTGGTACACCTTTCAATGACAAACACTGCCACAGAACCTCACGATCAACAGATTCAAATGCCGCTTTTAGGTCCAACGTAGTGTGTAACATATATCTTCATCATTTCGATCGATAAAATAACTGACTGATTGACTGGCTGAATACCAATTTGCCTTGCAAATATAGTAGTGTATACAGTAGTAGAAGAGCACAAAGATCTTACCTGATGTGACAAGGTGGAATGTTGTTGCTGTCGTTGTTGTAACTGATGTGAGGGTGACAGTTGATCGTGTTGTTGATGTTGTAATTGTTGTTGCTGTTGTTGTTGTTGAATTCGATTTGGTAATGGTTGATTTTTATTTTTTTTACGAGCTGACGATGTTAAACTACACCGACTACCACTGATTGAATTCATTGAACTATGCGCTGATGCTGATGATGCTGGACGATAGGTTCGATGATCTCTAATGCGTACTGATGGAGAAATCATTGGTGATAATTGATTGTTCATGGTGGGATTTTGTTGATTCAACAAAAAATTACTGTCGTTATTTAACATGGTTAAACTACTGCCAGAACGTAGTAGTGTACTACGAAATTCAACTAGATCTGCTTCTTCATGTAAAGATTGAATTGCATTATAAGCTGAAGTTAATGTTTCCAATGCTTTAGCATGCCATAATAATTCAATTTGAATGAAATCAGTTATAATTCGCTAAATTAAAAATAAAAAAGAACAATAACAGAATTAATGATAGGAAAATGAAAAATATCTAATGCACTTTGTGAATATCATGGATGCGCATTGCTGATGAGTCCTAGACCAGGACGAAACGGCTTGTCCAGCGCTTCTCCCAGGTTTCTAATTGGTGGTCTAACAATGATTGATTGATTGATTGATGATTTCAAATGTGTAACTTAACAATCTTCAAAACCCGGTAATTCAATTAACTAGGCTCACTAGTGACTAGCTCCGTAAGGAATCTTCGCTGAGTTCTAGTGGGAAGTCGTGATCAGTGAAGTTCAACCTGTTCGGGTGTAGACAGTAACCACTACCGAAGACAGTGTATGAGATTGCGCAACTCCGCGAGTAGATCGAAGTTAGACATTAACACCATTAGATACCAGCTCAATGGTCAATGGTCAAGGGGTTAGGCGTTCGCGCACAAGAGAGAGTCACGGATGCGTACTGTTGATGAGTCCCATACCAGGACGTGACGGCCGTCCAGTGCTTCCAGGTTTCTAATGGTAGTCTAACATTGATCGATGCATGATTTCAAATAACATAAAATTCAAATTTGATTGAAATCACTAACTGACTTCAGTTAAACAATCTGAACGCACCGAAATAGCCATTTCATCTTATTATTGGACTCCTTGGTAGTGGGAATCAAACTCAAGACCCTCGCGACCCTGTATGCCACCAAACAAAATATGAGACCATCGAGCTGAGATCCATTTGTGTGCAAGCCTAACTTTAATCAGTCGTGTTGATACTGAACGACCACCATCTTGTTCTGTTGCCTTCAATGGGTACCTTCCTCGCACATTGGACACAAATCAGCTCCACTGTTTATATAGCTGCTATTCATTAAGGCTTAGTTTAAAGTATATTTATGAATGCACTTTTGTTATTAAAGCATAGAGTGAGTGTATTGACTTTACTTTAAACAAAGAATTAAACCTACTACTGAGTTGTTATTATTTTTTTTGCTGTTATTTATTACATCATTGTACTTTTTAATTATAAAATTTATTTAATTTCAGGGTTTTTTTTTACCAACTAGTGTAAGAATGTCAGATCAATAGATGAAGTGGTGAAACTTCATCAGTTGAGGTGATTGGGACATGTACTGCGTATGCATAACCACCGACTGCCTCGATGAGCTATGTTTTGTGGTGTAGGAGTAGGTTGGAAGAAAGTTAGGGGCGGCCAAACCAAATCATGGCAGAAATCCATGAATTCATTGGCAAGTGAACTGAGTCTTGTCGGTAGGTGTCGACTACCTGGTTGGGGTCCGCCAGATGATAATAATCGATGGTTAGAGACCCTGAATGACATGTCTCAAAATCGTTCGCAATGGCGCCAGTGCATTTATTCTTTGTGTTCTCTCATATCCTTATCTTCTGAGTTCTTCAACAACTCTAGTTTTGTCTTTCTAAACTTTTCTCATTGAATCATACTTCTTGAATAATATCTTCTAATCCTAATCTCTCCGATTAATTCTAATACCTTAACTACCTGTACTACTATTGGATTTGAATTGACAGTTATATCTCTGTGCTAATGTGGTATGGCAACATGAACTGATGTACTTATGTACGAAGTTCTATGTTGCATCTGACTGACTGACTGACTGCAATTGTTACTTCAAATCCCATAATAGAAGCGGTAGTAGAATTATTATTAGTAATCGGAAATTTTAGGGTTCGGCGATATTATTCGAGAAGTAGAATCTAGTGAAATAAACTTAAAAAGAAAAAGATAAAGGTGATGAGGAAATTCGAGATTACAACTTAAGAGAACAAAAATAATGAATGCACCTGAGCCATGGCATTCAGGGTCTCTAGCCATCGATTACTACCATCTCGTATGTCCCAACCAGGTATTCGACACCTACTAACATGGCATTTACTGATAAACAAAAATGCACCGGCGCCATTGCGAACGATTTTGAGCAATGTCGTTCAAGGTCTCTAACCATCGATTATTATCATCTCGAAGACCCCAACCAGGTAGTCGACAATTACCGACATGGCTAAATAACCAAACTAAAATATAAAAAATCGGTTTGTAAAGTTATTGACTATTGAACGGTGTAATATATCGACAGTTTCAGACTAACTGGTTCAGGTTCACGCTACTACCGTGACCAATGCTTAGAATAAGGATTACGTCTTGTGAAATCTATCAATTAACATATCAGTTACTGTTTCGAATTTCGAATATGTCAGCTTGTAAGGTACCGATTAAATATGAACACACAATATCATTCTCTCAACAATCATTTCTTATATCTCTATTCATTTAAAAATTCTAACTCGTAAACTTTACTATAATAATAACTGTCAAAACAGATGTTTGTAAAAAAAATAAGTTTATTGTTTAAAAGTAAAACTTTTTTAACGATTATTAATTTGTGTACTTACTTTTAAACCTTTTACTCGACGACCTTCAAAATCAAGTACACAACGTTCTACATTATTTGTACTTTTATTAGCATTATTCATTGCATTGTGCAATTGTAGTTCAACCTTAGAAGAAAAATAATTCGAAATAGTAATATTGTGGTGTGTGCTACTTATATGAACGATATAAGTAGTATAAGAAGGGACGTGAAAGAAGAACTCTCACGGTCACTAGAGGAAAACGGAAAGCAAATGGAGCAAAAGCAAGAAGGAAATGTAGTACTGGCAAGAAGTAAAGGAAGCAACATCAGG